GTTCCCTCTGCCTCCCCCGCAGTGTCCCCCCTGTACCCCCACCCTCAATCCACTGCCCTCAGCCCCCCTGACCCTGTTCCCTCTGCCTCCCCCGCAGTGTCCCCCCTGTACCCCCACCCTCAATCCACTGCCCTCAGCCCCCCTGACCCTGTTCCCTCTGCCTCCCCCACAGCCATTCCCCTCCCCCCTGCGATCATCTCACCCTGCATGGATTTGGAAATCTGTCCCGGATTCCAGGCTGTCGTTAGCCCCTGGGGCAAAAGATCAGCAGAGGTTTCCAAAGGGAAGTTTGCAGCCTTTGCTCAGACCCAAACATTTTCACTTGAAAAAAAAAACAAAAACAAAAACAAACCCATCCTGACACCCATCTGCTCTGTCCAGATTTGCTGTTATCCCTGTTGAGGCCAAAGTGGTTTGAAAAATTAAAAATCCTTGACACCATTGTGTTGCTTCCCCCTGTGTTGCTCGTTAATCTGATGGACCTGCTGATAATGAATAAAGATGAATGGCCCGGGAGCAATGTGTCAGGCAGACAGTTTGTCAAGTAGGAAAGTGAATGCTGAAGCCCTCACAAAATGCAGAGGCTTTTCTTAACCTGAGAACTGAAAAAGAGCCAGATACCCTGCATGGGTTTGAAAGTGACAAGAGCCTCCCTAGCGACTGACCAGAGCAGCGCCAGGTTTGAAGTGGCGAGGAGGGTCTGTGTCATGAAGTCTGCATTTCCACTGAGGATTCTTCCATCGCCAGGGTAGTGCTGGTGCAGGTCTGCCGCCCGGCACAGCAATGCTGAGAGGTGCCAGTGTAGACCCGACCCACTGCCCTCAGTCCCTGTCCCCGTTCCAACAGCCTCCCCCGCAGTCCCCCTGCTCCTCCCAACCCACTGCCCTCAGCCGTGCCCTACCCCAAATCTCTTCTTCAGCCTCCCCCATCATCCCACCCCCATCGCTCCCCCTGCTGCCCCACCCCCTCAACTTCCCCCCATTCCAGTCCTGTTCCCCTCTGTCTCATCTCCTCCAGACCTTGTGCCTCTCCCCAATCCCCTGACCCTCCCCAGCCCAGCCCCATTGTCTCCCCCGCCTCGCCCCACTCTACACAGCTCTCTCTACCCTGTCCCATTCATGCTCCCCTCAGCCCCTACCCTACTCCCCCCATCCCAGTCCTGTCCCATCCCCCTCAGCCTCCCCGACTCCCCCAGTCCCAGTCCTGTCCCCCTCAGTTCCTCTACTCTTATTCCCCGGGTCCATCCCCACACACCCACCGACTCCCTCAACCTCCCTCCCCCCAATCCCACTGCCTGGACCCACCCCCATCCCACTCAGGACATGCAGGAAAAAGAAGCAATGGGCTTAAATTGTAGCAAGGGAGATTTAGGTTAGACATTAGGAAAAACTTCCTAACTATAAAGGTAGTTAAGCACTGGACAAATTACCTAGAGAGGTTATAGAATAGCAGTCATTGGAGTTTTTTAAGAAGTTAGACAAACACCTGTCAGGCTGTCAAGGATGGTCTAGTTGTTATTACTCAGTCCTGCCTCAGTGCAGGGGTTTGACTAGATGACCTGTTGATGTCCCTTCCAGTCCTACATTTCTGTGATTCACACTGAATTGCCTTGTGCCACTGTCTAGTAGTAGTGGCACATAGTTCTCTGACATGCAGGTTTATAAAATTGTAGTTAATATACAGTTTAGAGCATAGCAATTTTAAAGCTCTGCATGTTCAGACCAACTGAGCTGAAAATTGTGATCTACAGTATTCAAAACTATTAAGATGTGGGCTGAAATAAAATCAGCAGGAATTGCTCAACAATATCAATGGAATCAGCATTGCGCTGCTATGTATTGTAAAACATTACAGTGAAATCTGCAAGTATTACATAGCACGCCGCCTTGCCCAAGTGGTAACTAAGCATAACATCTTCCTGTTTCAGCATCCTTAACTTGTATCCCATAGCTCCTAGAAGTTGTTGTTTTTTTCAAACACTGAATGCTGCTAAGTTATGAGTTTTAACAGGTTTTTTTTCTTTTAAACCACAGCACTGAATGTTATTCTAAAATTGTTTTCCAAATATTCTTAAACTCCCAGTTTATCCCCTGCTGATGTTCATTGTGAAAAGTATTGCAGGTCTAATAATAATATTTAGCACTTTTGTAATTCCCTTTTCAACATGTGTTTTGTGCCCTCCTCTGGTGGATTTTTAGAGGATAACTGTATAGCTACCAGCTAAGGGAGTTATATCTCAAACTCAAGTAG